ACATGGGTACAGTGGTACCAGACTCCGGGAGCCTCCCAGTGCAGGGCGCTCTGAAGCTTAAGGCTGTGTTACCTGCCTGTACGACTAATATTTCCCTGTGGCCTCAGCCTAGAGAGTGCTTTGCTCCTCGAGTGGAGATGTCTTTGGCATCAGGCAGTTTTGGCATGATGGTATGAGAGCTGCCTTCATCCCGGCTGGCGGAAGTGCCAGAGGGGCAAATCCGTTGCCAGTCTGTGTATCCCTGAACGCAAAGCCGTGGTCTCAGGGCAGATGTGTTGGGTGGAAAGCATCACCCAGTCAGTGCTGTTGTTGGTGCCCTACATCTCGAATCCAGCTGCTGCCCCCACCAACATGGATGGGAGGAAGCAGCCCATGCCACTGTCCCCACCGCGAGGGAGAGGAGGGCAGCCAGGTTCCTGCAGGACAAAACGGTGTCCCCAGGGTCAGGTAGGTGATGCGGTCTGCGTGGACTGGGATGGCACAGCACAGCGCAGCACAGCACCCATGGTGGGCTTCGAGCTTAACCGGTGGCGGTGTCAGGAGGAGAGGTGGGTGCTGCGGTCACAGAGGCTGAGTGTAGGGACCAGCGTCACAGTGCAGGGATGGGAGGGGGCCGTGGGGGCCAGCAGAGCTCTCGGAGTGGGGCAGACAGGGTAGGAGCGAGGGCTCTGTGTGCAGGGCCAGGGCTGGCAGGGTGCAGCTCTGTGTTTGCCGTGCTGGGTGCGATGCTGTACAGCTGTGTCCCCATCCTGCCCTGTGTGGGGACAAGGTGGCCGGGGCAGCACAGGAGTGGAGCAGGGGAGCACCAAGCTGTGCCACATCCTTGCTCTCCCCCTGTCCCATGTATCCTGTTTGGGTAAAGGTCAGAGCCAGGCTTGTGGGGGCAGCTCCCTGAGCACACCCAAGTCCTGGGTGCCAAGCAGCAGCATCCGAGGGGAGGGGAGGGTGGGCACGGGATGGGCAGTGTCCCATCGGGTCCTGGAGGGCATAGTCAGTGGGAGGTGAGGAGCAGCTCCTCCATAATGAAATCCATAGTAAGTGATGTAAGGGTGCAGGTTCGCAGCATGGGTACTCCTCGGGCACAGAGGGTGGCACAGTTCCGGGGCTTGCTTGACTGATATGTGGCCAGACCTGCTCCCTTCCTGCCTCGCCAGCTTTAAGTCCAAGGAGGGCCAGGGCTGGCAGGCACCTCTCAATCAATCAGTCAATCAATCAATCACTGGCATCGCACTGGGCACATGCTGGTCAGGGCTGGCCACGTCTCCTGCCCACACCATCACAGCACACAGCCGGGGCTCCTCCACTCACTTTCGGGGTCTCCCAGTCCAGGCATGGTTCCAGCACACAGCACCGCTCAGGGATCACACAGCTCCTCAGAGATCGCAGACACCTTTTATTGAACAACACACCTTTTATTAAACACCACAACAAGAGACACACTACACACGCTTACAGTGACCACTACACAGCCCGCGGGCCACTTCGCTCCCAAGCCTGGGGCCATCAGCATCTCCTCCACTGTGCCACACTGCAGCATCCTGGAGCGGTGCTCTCCATGGACGCTGCTCCAACACCCGCTGCCAGATGCTGCCGGGCCCCGGACACTGCCAGAGAGGAAACACCACAGAGGCACCACTTAATCCTGGGCAGCACCCACCTCCAGTCACATCCACCCCAAGGTTCCTGCCCACCCAAGGGCTGCTTTGCACAGGACTGCCCCGGCAGCCTGCCACACGCGCTGCCACCACGCTCCAGGCTCACATGCCAAGAGATATGGACCCCATCTGAGGGCCAGGCCCACCACATGCACCCCAGCTAGAGAGCCCACCACAGGGACACCCCTCAGCACCTCACCCAAATGACATTCAGTCCAACTCTCCACCGAATCTGCTTGCACGGGTAGGTACCTCCTCACATGGGGTTGTTCGGTACCCGGCACCCCCCTAGGGCCACCCCACCACATCCTCACCAAACAGACATTGCTGCTGCCCACCCCTGCATGAGCACTAACACCAACAACCCCCCAACTTGGACAACACTCGCTGCCACCACAGTCCTCCTCTATCCCCCTGACAAACCACCCACCCGTAGGACCATCAAGGTTAGAAAAGGCCTTTAAGATCATCAATTCCAACCATTAACCCAGCCCTGCCAAGTCCACCACTAAACCATGTCCCTAAGCACCCCCTACACGTCTTTTAAATACCTCCAGGGATGGGGACTTCACCACTTCCCTGTTCCAGTGATTGACAACCCTTTCAGTGAAGAAGTCTTTCCTAATATCCAATCTAAACCTCCCCTGGCACAACTTGAGGCCGTTTCTTCTTGTCCTATGCCTCGTTACTTGGGAGAAGAGGCCGACCCCCACCTGGCTACCCCCTCCTTTCAGGTCATTGTAGGGAGCGATCAGGTCTCCCCTCAGCCCCCTTTTCTCCAGACCAAACCCCCCCAGCTCCCTCAGCCGCTCCCCATCAGACTTGTGCTCCAGA